GTGAAATGTGATAGATATGAAACATTTGATATAGATGAAACACATCAAGTAATGGGATCAGTTGTATAGTACAGGGTTAACAACGAATAGTTAGGAAAAGAAAGAAACCCCCCCCCTGAAGCTGTAACAGCTTACGCTATGTTAACTTTAGTTTTGTCCTCTTGTTCCCTACAAACCTTCATAGGGACACTCCAGTAATAGACTCCAGTTGTCTATTCCAGTCTCAGTCTGAAGTGTTGCTTCAACCAGTATACTTTCTCAAACCACTGCTAGTTGCAGTGGCTCAGTCTACCAGTCTAGTTCTAGTATAGCGCATTAGCCTTACGCGTAGCAGTACCTTTTGTCAGTAGTAGTCTTAAGTGGGACTCCTGACCCTCAGTTGTTAGGTCCCCTAACAGTTGGAAGAAAGAGCAGGATTTGATCTCAAGGCATATGAATCAATGGAAATTGCATCAAAGACTAGAAAATTGGTTAGAACAGGGCTCAAATGTAGCATCCCAAGTGTCAAGGGACCTAACGACTGAGGATCAGGAGTTCAACTGGTTAGCTGTTACTAGGACTTATACATGCTATAGTCCTACACTGAACTAGAGTTGTAGACTGAGCCGCTATATATCTGATAGCAATTTGAGAACGTATACTGGTTGAAGCAAAGCTTCAGACTAAGACTGGAATAGACAACTGAGTCTATTACTTAGAGGACACTGTGCTATGAAGTGTACGTAGGGAACAAGAGGACAAAACTAAAGTACAGTAGTGCAAGTAGTGCAAGCAGTGCTACTTAAATAGAACAAGGCGAATAGAGTTTAATAAGCATGAAACACTGAGTTGGATCAGTGATGAGTGTGAAACAGGTTTCACTGGGTTGTATCAGTGATGAGAATGAAACATGATAGAGATGAAACATGATAGGGATGAAACATGATAGAGATGAAACATGATGTAAGTAAAACATGATATAAGTGAAACGTGATAGATATGAGACACTGATATAGGTGAAATACATCAAGTGATGGGATCAGTCATACAGTTACAGGGTCAATGACAAATAGTTAGTGAAAGAAAAAGAACCCCCCCTCTGCTGTTGTAACACCAAGGGGATGTTATAGTTGTATAGCATCAAGAAGTGGGCTAGCAGTCAAAGGAATAAATGTAGTAGCAGGGGTCATAGATCAAGATTACACAGGAGAAATCAAGGTGTTGTTAATCAACAACAGTGAAACCTCATTTTCTGTACCAGTGGGTGACCGAATCACTCAACTAATCATTGAGAAAATTCTATACTGTGATGGCACATACAAAACAATCAAGAAAACCACAGAGAAGAGAACAGGTGGATTTGGGTCCACAGGAAAATAGTTCACCAGGAGTCTCACTCTTAAAGAGGGGGTAATGTCACAGTTTTGCAAAATAATGTTCTAGAATAGGCGCATGCCTATCTTATCTTATCAGATAACAATTAGATATAGATTAGATGCATGCCAGAGTATCCACGGAATAGTAGAGAGCCAGCTAGAAGGTTCCAGGACACAGTTGTCAATCAGGTGACAGCTCATTAAGCAGTTCTATTCAACGTTGCTTAGTGGTCAAGACCCACACATCACCTGATATTTTAGTTAGACTCTGGCTTGGAGATTTGTCATCACCACCAGTTAGTAAGATGGTCAGAAGGTGTTTAGTAGATAGCCAATAGGGTAGTGAGCACAAGTACCAAGGGGTCTTGTCTTACAGTATCAGGGGGGCTTACCCAGCATGTATATAAGCTAGTAGGTCTGTGCCAGTTAGGGCCAGACTAGTTATAGTCATTCACCTGCTTCTACTCAGAAAGCATCCTCTACTAGTAAACTGCCCTCAAGCCATTTACTCAGAAGAACTATCAGATAGTGAGTATTGTCAGGGCTAGGGTTAGGTTTGGGTATCAGGTGAAGTCACTGTGGGTCATTGCATGACAACGAGTGTAGATGAGTATAACT